TCCTGGGTTTGTTGTTTACATTACCCATGATGCATCTCATAATAAGTCTGTAGATTTATTGACTTGATTTAAGTCTAGCTTTGGAAATAAAAGGGCATTGTGTGACTTCTTTGAGTTATTATAGGAGCACTGCAAGTTAAGAGACTGTGAACTTTTCCATTATAAAGTTTATTTCCAGAGAAATATAACACAAATATATGCACCTCAGCATATAGAATTATCACCTCAGCAAAGAATAATTTCAAATGCGCCTACCAATTCTGGTTGTAATGCAATTAATTGCTTTTAATGTGCAAGGAAGAAAAAAAACCCATACTTTTGAATTTTTAATTCTTTACTGAGAGCTGATTCGATGGTTTGGGGAGAAGGGAGAAGCAAAGTATTGCTTGGTATTTAAATACCAATTAAATACCAAAGCATGGTATTTAACACTTATTATTCCCCAAAGCATCTGGAAAACATGTTTGGGATGCTTGTAAATTTTTTTTTTTTAAAAAACAATGCACTGAAAACTTACTGTCTAGTCCTGCCTCGTGGCTTTCTGTACAGACTACATACCATGCCATGAACTTCACAAGGAATGTGATCTGAGCGTCTCTGAATTAAGCCCGTTAGTGGTACATTCACAGAAGCCTGGTTCCCTTTTCGGACTTAGAGAAAGAAGAAAGAGGGACGCAGGCACAATAGGAACACACAGGTTTATAGTCTGCCTAGAAAATTTTTAAGACAAATATTTGCGTGTTGCACTGTGCCCAGTGTGATGTGCCTGCTTTCATTAGCATGAAAGACTGGGAAGGAAATAGCATTTATGCACCATTGTACCTATAATCCATGGATTAAAGCTCCCTAAGTACACACTGACACGATGGACTATAATGGTTCCTTTGAAGCTTTTAGGGTCCACCATGTCAATAATCTGTGGATTAACAGATCTTCTCTTGCAATTCCAATTCAATCCATGTTTTTCCTTTGCTGGAAGTATTGTTTTAGCAAAGTAAATCACAGTAGCATGGGGAAAAAAATCCAACTATGTAAATACACACACACACACACACACATATATATATATATATGAAGAAATAAGGTTATATTTCTATCAAATCTTAATGCACAACAGTGCATTAAGGCAATGAACTACAACTTCTGGGAGAAGTTAACTGAAGGGGTAATATTGTGAAACGTGGAGCTGTCTCAAATTAGACATGTTGAGAAACAAACATAGGGAGATATGGTATGGAAAAATCAAATTTTACATGGACTACTTTGTTCCTAAACTGAGCCTTATTTATTTTTCCACTTTTAGTGGAAACAGATTCAACTCCTGATTACACTAGAATCACCATCCTGGAGCTAGTGATTGGTCCAGTTAGACGGATGCTTCCAAAATCAGGTGAACCAACAGATCCTGGTTAGGACACTTGAGGAAATGCCTGTCAATTTTTCTTTTTTAAATTACAGACCACATTACTCTATTTTTCTCTCCTTCACAGCCATTTCTGCTCATGAAATTCAGTAGCGAGCATCAAAAACAGAGTTCCCAGCGGCCTCTGTGGCAACGTTCAATTGTTCTCTTACACCTCTTTGTGTGAGGGGGTCATAACGGCACACAAAGAAATTTAAACTATTACTGCAAGTCAAATAGAGCGCTCTAAGACTTACTGTAGAATCTGAGTGGAAAGCCTGTTCATTGCCAGTCTCCCACACAGCGCTCAACTTCACTTTGCAAGGTTAGCACAAGTTGGTACGGTGTTCCCATCGTATCTGTTCATCCTTCCAAACCTTTATAAATTCCTGACCAGCCTGGTAACGTCATTCACAGAAATCACAAGCGTCACTGGTTGCTCTGGCAGGTGACTGGTGTCAACACCTCTACAGGAAACAGTGATCTGAGACACCTGATTCAAAGCTTATTCCAGGGAAGGGATCTTTCCGTAGCCTCAAGAGGGTTTGAGCCCTGGTAGAAGAAATTAGATATGACGCAGAAACTGTTTGACGAGATCAGAGAAGTGTTTTTTGCACAACTCTGGACTGTTTAACAAGGTAATCAACTGTGAATGCCACGTAGCTCTACAACAAATCTTTCTTCAGAAGATCTGGGGGAGTTTTATAATGGAGAGCAATTATTAGCCCCTTGTTACAAGTAATAAAAGCAAGGCAGTGAATTTCCCTGTTCAAGGAAATCACAATATAATCCTTTTCTTTAATCATAAAACAATAGATACTTTCCTAGGCCAAGTCATTCTGCCTTTAGCACAGCTCTGTGACTGTATGTTACTGTCTCTCTATAATGAATTTCAGCAAGAGGATTAACGGGTAGAAATCCATAAGAACAATTACAAACTACAACCAACACAAGCATGTTGGTATTTGGTACCAAGTTTCCCACTGTTTCTCTACAATAGTTCTGAATGACATTATAAGCAACTGCCCTTGCCAAAACCCATACAGCACAAGGATGACTAAAGTTTCAGGGTAGGAAAAAAAGCTGAATTGTGGGATAGGAGCAGAATCAGGGTCCACACATCTTGCTGTTGCATTATCAAACTGCTGGGGCTTGTGGTTGGAGGTTGGAAAGACCTCTGGCAACCTCTAAAAAATAAAAGTGAACTAATTAACCCTGTTAACTACAAGAGGCGTTAAAATTACTTGAGCCATTTTTAGGGTCTCAGGAATATCCATCTCCTGGCAGCTGCCTGCAGCTAATAAGGTTTTGGTTAAAGGGGAGAAAATAAAAGGCTTGAGCCCAGCAGGGAGCTGTGGAAGAGGCACTGACGCACAAGCGACCGTGGGTCGGCAGTGTGATTTATAGGGCAGGAGCTGGGCACAGAGCGAGGAGCCGCCAGGGCAGCCCGGAGGGGAGCTGCCTCCTCTTCTCGCTTGGGGGAAGTCGAGTCAGCAACAGCACTAGCAACTATTGTTTTGTGGAAACCTGCGTTGTGAATACACTGCCATTCCTTATTCTCTTCTTTTTCTATTTCTTTTTTATGGATTATGAAAAAAAAGGAGGGGGTCACTACTTTACCTTTTTTTTTTTTTAATCTGCTAAGCACACAGAGGCCATTTCCCTCAGCTTCCAACAGAAACACAGTTTTGTTCAGCATCAGGAATAACAATACACGTATGTACATACGATTACAAGCCACAGCCAGCACAAATACCTTAGTATTCATGCCAACTTTCCTACCTCTACAAACATAGTTTTTCCTGGAACAATTGCTCAGAAATTGTCATTTGCAATTTTATAGTATCTTTTTTACTGATTGTGGTTTCTCAGCGGTTCCTAACCAACTAAACAGGCTAAACATTAATGACTGCAACTGCTAATATCTGGGATATCAAGTAGAATAACAGCAGCAGCTTTCCAGAAAAATCACCTGGAGCAGGAAAGTTGCTTCAGTAACAACCCAGACGACAGCGCTCGAGTCCAGCGGGCGATTCCCTGAGTCGACGGTAAGCGACCGAATCGCTGCACTGCCAGCACGACAGTGTCCCGCAGCGAGGGCAAGTTTATGCTGCCCAAGGCATCTCACAGCAAAGAGACAGCAGCGGGGCCACTCTCAGAAACTGCAGCAGGCGTTTGCCACCAAATGCACTTATGAGGTTGGAACTGTAGCTATTTTCAATCCAGGAACACTCAGTGGTTAACTAGTTACAAGATAAAGAGGAAACATGATTTATTTGAAGGAGGGCGAAAAAAGTTACTGTATCCTGTTCTTTCCTATATTTGTTTAGTCTTATCCTTATTTCCCCCTCATTACTCTTAGTTGTACCTGAATTATGTAAAACAGATCCTCAGCTGACCCCAGAGGAATTATGCTTTTCCTACATGAATTGAGAATCTGGCTCGTATTTCTCATAAATGCAGCAACGTAGATTAGCTCATAGACGACCAAAAAATTTTCCAATTCTATAATTTTCATCAGAATCCAAATTTTCTGACTGGATTTTTTTGTCCAAAATTGGATTCAATTTTTACATTACATGCCTTCACCCACAATGAATCAGAAAGGTGCTCTCTTAAAATGATGTCACTTATTGCAGAAAGTCACAGATCCTATGTGTCTAATTTTCCCTAGTTGAAAAGAGCTGCTGAAGGCAAGTGTTTGAAAATGGAACGTATTAAATACAATGCAAAAGATGTTGATGTTTAAGTATTTCTGCCAGTGCTTTCAGCATTACAGTTACATCCGCAAAGACTTTCCAAGACTCAGCCTGGATGTTATTCCCCATGCTCATCTTCACCAGCCCTAAAACATAGTGCACACAATTTCTCACTCAAAAAATTAGCTTTGCTGCCTTCCTCAGAGGCTATATGTGGACAAGAGCACAGCGTGGCTCACTGCAAATAAGCTGTATTACAGGTGAGACTGTCAGCCCTTCCGCTTCCTCTAGGTGTCACTGAGAAAATAGTTTCTTTTGAACCCCCACTTTCATGTGGGTCAGGAGGAGAAAGAGCAGGAAGAAAGAGCTGGCTGAACTTCAGCTACTGACATTGATTTCCTTAGGATCCTGCTCTAAAGAAAGGAAAGATATGGATTCCTAGAGAGGACAACTCAGTAAATTAGAGAAGGTAACTGGTGAAGAAAGTTAGCTGTTCTGAACCACTCAGCTCGGCTACCTGCAGTCACCCGGTGGTGTCTGTCACTCACTATTGACGCTAGAGAAAATCCCAACTTCTGCTTCGCCCACGACGCCAGAGCTCTACATAGCTGCAGTTTGGGGAGGCGAATTCTGCCCATGGCCACGCACGTGGGTTCCTGCCCTCATTTTCCAGTTCTCCCACTAGTCACAGAGACAAACGAAACAAGCAAGATGCACCCAATGTTTGCGAGAAGACAGGGACCCTTGCACAAGGAGGGCACCCAGACTGTGCATGAGAGTACCCCGGAGGTTAGTTGAGGCTGCTGCAGCTGCCAAAAAATGGGCGACAAATTCAGGACGCGCGTGGCCACATGTTGGAGGACCCTGCGAACCTCCCCACCTGCCCCAAGCCTGCTTACCTGGCAGTTCAGGGTAGCTGTCAGTAGCTGAGCTCAGCCAGCATGATTTAATATCTCTAGGACTAGCCATGCAACAGAGGAAGCATTAGCCTCCAAAGGGCAATAGTAGAGAAAGCAAGAAAGTGAAGCAGTGCCATAATCTGCTTACTGCTCCCACAGGTGAGCCTCAGTCCAAGCGCTGATGTGCGCTCTGTCTCGCGAGGTCAAAAAGCACCAAGTCCAGCAAGAGCAGACCAGCTACCAGGCAGTCATATGAACCCTGCCTACGCAGTGCGTTTTCCTCTTCTTTCTTTTCTTAGTTAGCCTGTTTGCTTTGGTTGTCTTCTTTTGGAGGGGAAGAGGGAGGTAACAGGGTGGAAGTGGAGAACCCACTGGTCCTCTGACACTCTTTGGTGTTTCTACCCAGCAGGTGAAAGCAGCACCTTTTCCAGCATTGGGCTCTGGTTCTTTAGGAAGCTGGCGGGGATTTCCGGGAGAGCCTGCTCCCTGCTCGCTGCCTGCATTGTCCTGGTCGACCCTCCTTCCCCGCCGGCTCTCGTCCGGACCAGAGGGCAGGCGGGGGGCAAAGGCCTCTCGCTCCCTGTTGCTGTAGCTGTTACGCCAGAGCCCAGCCTAGGGCTGTACTTGCAAAGTGAGAGCAGTCATTAGCGAAGGAGGATAGGAGCATGTTCGGGAGCTGTCAGTCTTCAGGATGGCTTTGTAACACTTTTTGGTTTTCTAAACATTTCTAGTTATGTACTTCCTGCATGACTAAGATGAAAATTTCTTCTCAAGTGTGAAAAGACTCACGCTCTGAGTGAAAGTGCCACAGGACTTTCAAAACTGTCAGGGTCAACTGCAGAGCTGTGATAAGGGATTTCAAAATCAGATTATTGAAAGGGTAGGTTTCAGCTTCACTCTGCTGCTAGACCGATGTTTATTTGTCCAGCTTGGCAGGTGAAAGGTTAGTTCTTCATCTAGTTAACTCTGAACAAAAGCAGAAGGAACATGTATGGGCAGATAGGTCAGACTGTTATGGGTGAGTGAACATCCAAACAGCCCCAAACCCTTTAGGCCTGCTTGTGGTAACCATACCTCCTCAGCTAGAGGAAGGAAAGAAAGAAAGAAAGAGGGGAACAAAAGAAAGAAAGAAAGAAAGAGGGGAACGAAAGGGAGACTTTCCAGATTAAGAGATGACTGGAATTGGTTTCAAAGGAAATCTCTTTTTCCAAAGATAAAAGATGCAGTGCGTGTGGCAGAGCAGCACCCACTGCTGCCTTCTGAGGGGGGTGTTGTGAGGTTTACCTACTGCCTGAAAATGCGTTTGAGCTCCTTGGATGAAAGTAACTGCTAAATGACAAAATGTCATTTCAACATTATTGTTAATGCTGTGATGTAAAAACAAGAAATGGTAAACTTAAAAAAGGTTCTGTTGTTTGGTACTTCATCCACACAAGGCACTTCAGCAAGCCCAGTGAATGTCCTGGGGGGAACAGGGTCGGGGGGGGGGG